AAATAAATAAATAAATAAATAAATGCTATTATCCCTGATCTACAAATGATGAAAACTTGCTAAGGCCACTCATTTATTCAGTGGAGAAAATAGAAATCCAACCCATGTCTGTCTGACTCCAAAGTCTATGTTCTTAATCCAGGGTCAGCCAATGTGGCAAACAAGCCAAATCATGTCTATTTTTGTATATAAAGTTTTATTGGAACACAGCCATGCCCATTCATTTGCAAATTATTTATGGATGCTTTTGCCCTACAATGACAGTTAAGCAGTTGCAACAAAGATCGTATGGCCCACAAAAACCTAAAATATTTACTATCTGGCTTTTTACAAAAAGTCTGAAGACTCCTGCTCTTAATCATTCAATACAGCGAAGGTTTTGTACTCCTATTTTTAAAAAAGGTTAATGGGGACTTGTTATCCCTAAGTGTGCACATACAGATGCAGTACACATACACATGGCAAACATAATACCTATACTATGAAAACCAAAATGCTTTGCTGACAAAACTGCTACCATATTAGATTGTACGTTACTAAAAATGTCATCAACAGGATTTTTCTTTATCCTCACCTTTCATATTCTTCCGCAGCACTGGTGACTTGCATGAAGAGTTCATCTAAGCCTGTACCCAGAACAGCAGACACACCCACCACCTGTCAAAAGCATCAGTACCACTGAGGAAACTGTATATTTTTAAATGGTGTATATTACTTTGTTCAAATATCATAAAATCTTCATAAAAGTTGTTTAGATACTTCAAGAAGTCTCTGACAAAGAGTGAAGCTAAAACAAAACAGCACACATACTCAAAAGCCATGGAAAGATGTCTATGGAAAAGAGAGGACTAGAAAAAAAAGAGGAGAAACACGTAGCAAGACTTGTCATCTATTCCCTGTCAAATCCAACCACTGTTTTCTATAAAAATTAGTATCGCAGTGCCTTTGCTTGGGCAATTACCATCCTCCCTGCCACCCCAACACACTTTTGCTTATATAAATCGTACCCTTCCTGGGTGCCTGGGTGGCTCAGTCGGTTAAGCGTCTGCCTTCGGCTCAGGTCGTGATCCCAGGGTCCTGGGATAGGGTCCTGCATTGGGCTCCCTGCTCAGCGGGGAGTCTGCTTCTCTCTCTGCCCCTCTCCCCCACTCATGTGTGTGCTTTTTCTCTCGCACGCGCATACACACACACATAAAAAATAAAATCTTTAAAAAAATAAAAAATAAATCGTACCCTTCCTTCAAAGCATACCTCTAATGATATATCCTCCAAAATCCTTCATTTCAAGAGTGATCTGCCCTTTACCAGCATGAGCCTCAACCTCCAATCTTCGTAAGGTCCTTAGCACAATATATTATGTTTCAATTCTGTGTGTAGCCCTCTCTTCAAACTAAACCATAAACTCTGAAGGTTGGGTCTTTACCTTATTTATCTTTTTTAAGTAATCTCAGTGCCCAAAGTGGGGCTCAAACTCACGACCCTGAGATTAAGAGCCAGCCATATGTTCTAGTGACTGAGCCAGCCAGGCGCCCCTACCTTATTTATCTTTTAAACCTCCAGTTTTCAAACTGGACAACAACACGCAAAAGAATGAAAAAAAAACAACCATAAAACTCCCATTTTTATAAGTAATGCTTAAATGCTTTTTTAATGAAGGTAACGAACTTCTTTTCTAAGACAGGTTCAAAACCAGCCCTATGGATTAAGAGATTGTCTGAAGGGACTGTCAGCATAAGGAGAGGAGAAAGTTTACCCTAAGTGAGCTGTAAAATTCATCTAACACCAGGCTCATTGAACGAGTCAGGTTACTGACGTATGTAGTCTCTTGATTCAAGGCATCTTGGAAAGCCTCAAAATCTTGCATCCATTCCACTGCAAAGCTGTGATCAATGATGTCAGTCTGTACCACAGAGAAGTCAACTATTAGCAACCAGAGATGTGGTTAGATATCAAACTTCGAAAAAATTTTAATTAAGTGGCGACAACAAAGCAATTATTCATGTATTTTTTCTCTGCTTTCACCATTTCCTCCTCCACTACAACAAACCATAAAGGGCCAAGACTACTGTAAATAATGAAATGAAGATATGTGTTCTCTTGGTTGAAGCAGACCCTTCACTATCCACTGCCAAGTGACCATGGCGACAGTAGATGCCAGCATATTCCAGGCTCTGAAGTCATGTAGTCTCTTGAATCCTAGCTGTCAACCCAACAACAGTGAAGTTTTCTGTTTTAATTGTGACTGCCAATAAACTAGCAGCCCCTCCCCCATATACAATGCAATTCTGAGGGATAACCTATACACTACAGTTGAGGGGCTACTCTATCTAGTTTAAAAATACTTTGATGAGAGCCACTGATAAATATTCATTCAATCTGATTCAATCTTTCTGCTACAAGTGCTCATGACTTTGTTTCAGATAAGTTTGAATCTGTTCTCCAACATGTGAAAATCCTCACCTACCCAAACCTTCCAATAACACAAGGTTCTGATGAAAAAGAAATACTGAAGGAAGGATCCACTTACTTTATTCATAACCACAATGAAAGGCAGCTTGGTTTTGTACAAGATGCTGAAAATCAAATATCAAGACACTATTAGTAAAAACACTTACGCTCCTGCTTGCCCAGTGTCAGTCCGTGGGAACTGAGTAAAGAGAAGTGGAATGGGTTCAGACTCCACATATACGTATCCATTCTCACACAGCCCTCAGTTTCCTCTCCCAAGAGGAAAAACCACCACCTACCCTCAAGCAAACAACACACACACATTCTCTCTTTCTTGGAGTAATAATGCTTTGATACTGATCTTGTTTTTTGTGTATGCTTTTTTTGTAGGGTTGTTTTTACCAAATAACTGTCTTTTAAACAATAAATATGGAAACAAAAAACATTATCAATCATCAGATTTCTATTTGGACTAGGATTTCCTGAATCTAACAAGAAGGGATACCCTAGTCATATGAGAAGGCACAAATGCTGGCGATGGCTTTTGTGTACACCCCAAGTAAATTCTCTCACATTTAATAATAGTTCTCCTTGTTCCTATGTCTACTGCACTCACATACCCTAGTGAGGCATGTCCTTCTGTCCCCAATGACACCAAGCTGGGGCAAACTTGTGCTTTGTGGAATTATAGAAAAATCTCTTTATTCATAAGCTCTCACATTATAATTTAACTCTACATGTCATAACACAGAAAAGGAGCATTTAGACCAGAGGGCTCTATTCTATTTAGACTTGTTTCATTCAACTAGGAGCAACTACCAAAAGGTTCATATTCATACACGACCTGTTTCTATAACAAGCAAGGGAGGAAGATGAGAAGCTGCTCATAGAGAATGCCAGCACATGTGTCTCTTTTCTCTTCTAACCTCTCCCCAGCTTACAACTACTAAACTGAGGGGCACATCTGAATGAGCACAAATCCAGGTTGGTAAGTACTCGGGACTCAAATACAAAAGAGAAAAGAAGAGGCCTCCTCCCTTGATGTAATAGCATGCCCACCAGCAATCAATTACCTGCAGGCATAGAGCATATTGGACATGAAGGTCACTGGGTTGGTACTTCTTGATGTATCCATTACATAAATGACAACTGTTGGAAATGAGGACGCCTAAAGCCACAAAATAATCACAGCCTTAGTCAAAGGGCTCATGACCTATCCCCAAACTCTTTTCCCACCTTCCTTACTTAGCAAGGGAGAACCGCCTTAGGCAGGGTGTACAGAGCTTCCACAACTCCCTCCCATATAAGGTCCCATGCAATAAAAAGATGCTTAACCAGTCTAACTCTCTAGTTACTCTCAGTAACCAGACCTACAGTACTCACCAGGGCCTCAGTGATGATTGTCCCAGAAGCTGACCACGTGAACACCTCAATCTGTCCAGGTGTGTCAATCAAGACATATCTGTGTCAAGAACAACCATTAAAGAAGTATTACACTTGTGTAATGCTGAAAGATATTCCAGCACACAAAACACTGAACATCTGGTTATCCAAGATTGGAACCTCTTCACACTGTCAAGTCTAATTTCCTCCCACTGCCCTTAAAACATATACCACGTTCCCCTGGGCTCTGTTCAATGTCCAATATTCACGCTACCAGGCAGGAGCAGCAGTCCACAAACTGCTGCAAATGATCACAGAGAAACTGTGATAGTTTTAGAAACACACTGCATTAAAGATGAGAGATAAACAAAACGAGAAGGCAAATCTCTTGGGAAACCATCTGGTCTCTTGGGGTGGAGGTGGGGGTGAAGGTGGAGGAGGGGAAGGAGGAATAGAGAGATAGGGGAGTAATAGCTAAATACAGGGTTTCTTCTTGAGGTGATGGAAATATTCTAAAAGTGACTGTAGCTGGGCACCTGGGTGGCTCAGTTGGTTAAGCGACTGCCTTCGGCTCAGGTCATGATCCCAGGGTCCTGGGATCGAGTCCCACAT